GAAACAAAAGTGGTGAGATCTATAGGGCTTCAGCTTTCTACCTTGAGAGATGTCCATCTGCATGCAGTGCTATGAGTGGGAGGCCAAAGAACTCTCTGAGTTGAGAAGATGGAATTTAGAGTCAGGGGAGACCAAAGCAGCCACAGTTGGCAGACAGAAAATATCAGAATGAAGAGTACTGCATATATATAGAGAATCCCTGAGATCTTCAGAGAGTTTTCCTGGAGTATTTGGCTGAGTATTGATCAGTGTGCACTCATTTGAGGAATCTTCCTCAGGCCAGGGAAAGAAACAGCGCTATGCTCACATAGGGCAGAAATAGTGCTTTGATTTCATCAGCCAGCCTGGAAAAACTCATGCTTTGTCGAGTAATGGATAGAGTCTTCAGATAGGTCTTGCCTCAGTAGTGGGGATTTATTAGCCCTACACAAAGCACTGCTCCAGACCCACCTGGCAAATCATTAAGTACAAGACCCAGAAGGATTTGACTGTTTCCAAGGCCCATTACAAAGCCTGAGAATATTTATAAGAATACAAAAAATGTCCACCACCCAACAAGGTGAATTACACAATGTCTGGAGTCCATTCAGGGAAAGATTTTGAGGCATGCAGTGATGCAGACAACACAATCCATAATGAGAAGGGTAATGAATGAATCAATTGGAACCAACCCAAAACTGATAAGAGGTATTAGGATTAGCAGACAAGGACATTAAAAGAGTTATTATGACTGTGTTTCATGTTAAAAAAGCTAAGTAGAGACATAAGAGATGTAAATCCAAGTCTAGCTTTTAGAGATTAAAACTATGGGTGTTCTCAATGGAAAGTACACCGGAATTCTGTGTTCACTAGATGGCATTAACAACAGATTACACATTGCAGAATATTAGTGAAGGAGGAGACAGCAATAGAAACTATTCAGAGTGAAACTGAAAACAGAATTTTTAATAAATATGAAAAGACCATCAGTGGGCTGTGGGAAGAGATTGACCTAATATACTTGTAATCAGCATCCTTGAGGGAAAGGGGTTGTGTGGAAAAATTTAAAAAAAAAATTGAAGAAGTAATGGTTGAAAAACTAAACCCACTCATCCAAAAAGTTTGCTGAAACCAAAGCTCAAGAAACAGGAAGAAACCAAAGCATGTTACCATCGAATTGCTCAAAGCCACTGATAAAGAAGAAAATCTTAAAAGCAACTAGGGAGGAAAGAGACACATATTCAGAGGAGCAAAGATAAGGATGATAGATTTCTTTTCAGAAGGAATACTAATAAAAGAGATGATGGAGCAACATTTTTCAAGTTTTTAAAGAAAAAAAACACACCAAACTTGTCAGCCTGGAATTCTGTGCCCAGGGAAAATATTTCAAATATGAACACAAGATAGACTTTCAGACATATAAAAGTTGGAAAAGTTCTTCACCAGCAGAAGAGATGTTAGAGGTAGTCATTGTAGAAGGAAAATGATACCATATAGAAATACAGATCCACACAAAGGAATTAAGAACCCTAGAAGTGATAAATAGGGAAGATTTTTTTCTTCGAACTTAAATGTTTTTAAAAGATAATTGTTTAAAGCCCAAACAAAACCAGTGTATTGTGGAGTATATAAAATATAAGTAAGTGAAATATATGATAGCCTAAAGGCCAGGGGGAGAGAAATGGAATTATATTAATGTTAGGTTAAATCTCTGAAGTGTTATAATATCTCTTCAAGGTAGGCTGGGATAAATTAAGGATGTATACTGTAAGCCTTAAAGCAAACCACTAAAATAACCAGAGTTTTTTAAATAAGATAATGATGAGATAAAATGGAATCATATAAAATAATTAGTATAAAAGGATAAAGGGGATAAAGAATAGATGAGACAAATAGAAGTAACAAGATAGATTTAACCCTGACCACATTGATAGCCACTTTATATGTTAATGATCTAAACACTCCATTAAAAGACATTATCATATTAGATAACGAAGAATATTAAACTATGCTGCCTACAACAAACTCGCTTTCAATATAAAGACACAAATAGGTTAAAAGGATGGAAAAAGCTATAACATATACTGTACTAAAAAAAAATAGAATGGCTATGTTAACATCAAAGTAGATTTTAGAACATGGAATATTACAAAGAATAAACATCATTTGCTAATGATTAATTAGTCTAAAAGGCATACTAGTCATTAACGTTTATGCATGTAATTGTGAATAAGCTTAAAAAATCAATGAAGCAAAGAAGTGCAAGAAGAAATAGAGTCACAGTGAAGGAGATTTCAGTACCCCTCTCATAGTAGAATAGGTTAATAGAAAATCAGTAAGAATATAGGAGACTTGAACAATACTGTCAATTAAATTGGCCTGGTTGACATTTATAGAACATGTTACTCAGTAAGAAGAGATTGACATTTCTAGAACATTCACCCATTACAGCAGAATACTTCTTTTTAAGTGCCCACATGAAACATTGGCAAAGATAGACCATATTCTGGGTCATAAAATAAGTTTCAGTGTATTTAAAAGAATTGATATGCCAAGTATATTCTCTGGCTATAGTGGAATTAAATTATAAGTCAGTAATAGAAAAACAACTGAAAAGTCCTCAGTATTTGGAAATTAACAGACTTCTAAAAAGCAAATGGATCTAGAAAAAAATCAAAAGGGATATTAGAAAGTATAGCTAACCCTTGAACAACATGGGGATTAGGAGTGCCCATCCCCTGGTGCAGTTGAAAATCTGCATATAATTTTTGATTTACCCCAAAGTTACTACTAATACCTGCAGTTGACCAGAAGCCTTACTGATAATCAATACAGTTTTGTGCGTTATATATATTATATACTCTATTCTTACAATAAGGTAAGTTAGAGAAAAAAATGTTTTTTCGAATTGTGGCAACTCCCAAAGTATTTTCACTGTATTAAAAAAAAAAAAGTTTGTGTATAAATGTACCTGTGTACGTCAAACCCATGTTGCTCAAGGGTCTCTTGTATTTAGAACAGAATGAAATAAGTGGTAACACAACAATCTGTGGATCGCTGCTAAAGCAATGTAAACTGCTTTATTTGTAGCACTAAACAATTGGATTAGAAAAGAAGAAAGGTTTTAAATTTCACCTTAGGAAACTAAAAAAGAAGAGCAATTAAACTCCAAGAAGAAGAAAAGAAATAATAATGATGAAAGTGGAAATGAACAAAAGAGAAAACAGAAAAATAATGAAGAAAAATCAAAGGAAATAAAAGTTGGTTCTTTGAGATCAGTGAAGTTGGTAAGTCTCCAGCTATCCTGATCAGGAACAAAGAGAAGATGATAGATACCAGTATCAGGAATGAGAAAGGTAATATTACTACAGATTTAAAAGATAAAAAATAATAAAGGGATATTATGAACAACTTTATCTCCATAATTTCAACAACTTGGGTGAAATGGACAAATTCTTAGCAAAGTTCACTCAAAAAGAAGTAGAGAAGCTGAATAGTTCTTTATATATGATATTGAAATTACAGTTAACTTTTTCACAAAGAAAAACTCCAGGTCAAGATGGCTTTACTGATGAATTCTACCATTTAAGGAGGAAATAATACCAATTCTACATAAATTTGTCCAGAAAATTGAAGAGGAGGTAATGATGCCAGGGTTCTTGTTCGCGGAGCCGAAGAATGAGCTTCACAAACAGTCAAAGTAGGAGAGCAAGGTACAGGCTTTTATGTAGAGATAAAGTGAAAGGACAGAGCTCCCGGCTCACACCAGGAGGGGACAAGAGAGTCTGTAGTGGTGCGTTGTCTAGGGGATTTGGAGGCAGTTGAGGATTTGTTGAGAATGTGAAAAAGAGTTTAGGGGTGTGGACTTGTTAAGTGGTCCCTGATATTAAAAATTAACGTGAGGTATTTCCTGCCTTGATTTCTCTCTGGGACACAGGCGCCTTGGTCTGGGAGCACATCAGAAGGCTGTCTGCCCAGCCCCCAAGGTGGGCTGAGGTATTGTCTATTTGCTAAAGAATCTTGCCTCTTGAACTTCCTAGGTGTTAAAATGCAACCTTATCTTTAAGATGGAATTCTTCCTGCCTTTTACTATGCCGTCTACAGCTGGGTCTGCATGCTAAGTTAGTTGCTAAGTTTGCAAAATTACCTCATCAGATCTGAAGGAGGAGAGATAGCACATAGGCCTGGGCCTTTTAGTATGCTAAAGTGAACCTTACACATGATTATAAATGGTTAGCATAATAAAACATGTGCTACTCTTCTTTATCTGGGGAACATTAACTGATCTCACTGAAGAATGATTCTAGAGCTCAATGTTTAACAGAGTTTTAGTAGGGAGGTTTCCTTGCATGTAGTTACATTGCTCTGACTGCAAATATCCTGCCCTGCCCCCTCTGGAGGCCCTCACCCTACTCTTGACTACATCCATGGTCTCTGTCTCAGTAATACTCCCAATTCATTTTTTACCAATACCAAAATTTGACAAAGTCAGTGCAGGCAAACTACATACTGTGTCTCTCATGAGTATAGATAAAACAAAAGTTCTAAACCAAATTATTGCAAATCAAATCCAATAATATTGTAAAAGATAATATACCATGACCAAGTGGGATTTATTTCTGTAATGCAAAGTTGATTTATTATTAGAAAATCAATTTAATTAGTCATATTAATAAGCTACAAAGAAAAAAACATATAATCATCTTAATAGATGCAGAAAGAGCAGGTGACAAAAGTCTATATCTGTTCCTGATGATTATTATCTGCAAAGTATGAATAGAAGAGAACATCTTCAGTGTGATAAAGGACATCTTAAGACAAACCTATGGGTGACAGTCAAACTTTTGTGTATGATTAAAATTTCCATTACAATAAGTTTGAAATAAATGTACTTGAAAGTAAAGTACTAGCATTAGTGAGATATTTCATATATATTCATAGATACTTGAATAATCATGGAATCATATTAGAATGAGAATGGGCCTTCAAGATGATACTAATTCAAACTTTATTTTTTATAGGTCAGTATGGAAATCCTTTAAATAAATACATTAGACATTATGAAGGATTGTCTTATGATGTGGATTCATTACACCAAAAACACCAGCGTGCCAAAAGAGCAGTCTCACATGAGGACCAGTTTTTACGTCTAAATTTCCATGCCCATGGAAGGTGAGTACATTTATTGCTGACTATGTAAAAGAAGAAATTTATGCCCTTATTTTTCTCCTCTAATGGAAAGGTTCCCATTTGGAAATTCTGCCTACATTGGAGTTTTGGGGGGGGGG